AATAGGTGCGGTCGCGCCACATCTAACATTCTACCCCTCCAAACCATCGCTTCTCGTTGCGCAGCTTTTCTCCGAGTAGGCTTGCCTATAAGAGTCCTTGCTCAAGTCGTAGAAAACTGGTCCACTTTCCCCCCCCCCCATTTTGGTCGTAGAGTGTTGTAGAATGCCACGTGCTCTCTGGCAGGGCTTCTGTATTGCAGGTACATTAGGGGCCCGATCACAAGAAACCTTCCACACAAGACACCCCACCCTGAGACCCCTGGACGTCCATCGACTTTGGTCTGGGAACGCCACGCTCTCCATGGCAAAACCATCGAAACCCAAGAAACCCAGGGCACCCTTGTGGCAAGCAGGATGTTTCTCGGCATGGGTCTCCACTGTAGAGCACAGCATGCACACAAACTTTCGAAGGTCTGCGCGGATCCCTTGAGCCAGAGAGGGGCCGCCCTCCCTGTCACGCGGAACTGCTGTACAGTAGGCACACACGGGCACCTCCATCATCGACTCCGAGCTTCTCAGAGTGCCCCAGGGCTCTGGGAGCCCATCAGAAAGTATCGTGGTTCATCTGCTGGCAAGCGAGTTCCTTATTTGGCGTGCCTACTGTAGGGGGCTGCGGGGGGCCACCTCTCATAGAGGAGCCAAGAACTGCATAAACATACAGTGGAAGCCAGTCCACAAGAAACCTTCCACGAGGCACCCCACCCTGACACCCCAGGACGTCCATCGAGTTTTGGGGAGAGGGCGTCACGCTTTCCGCACCAAAACCATCAAAACCCAGGAAACCCAGAGGGCACCCTGGAGGCAAGCAGGGTACAGTCAACCAGTACAGGAAGGATGCGCGCGATAAGGATGCAAGGACCCTGGACGCCCACTTCGAAGCGCTTCGAGCGGGGCCCGGCATCCATACTATGCGGGTTGACTGTATTTCTTGGCACGGGTCTCCCCTGTACCCTTCCGGAGGTCCACGCGGACTTCTCTGATCGGCGCTGGGCCCCTCTCTGGTGCGCGGAGAGCGCTGGGGGGCGGCGCCCAGCGGCGCTGGCAGGGCGGCCCAGCGAAGGATCAGAGCATCCGCGCGGCGCTCGAGGAGGAGGAGGAGGAGGAGGAGGTAAAGCGTCTTCTTCTCCGAGCGCTTCCAAGAGGAAGGGGCCCTTCCCCTGCGCTCGGCTGCGCGCAGGAGTGACCCGAGGCAAGAGTGACCTTCGGTGCGCGGCCTTCCAGCAGGCACATACGGTGAGAGGTGCTGCTATGAGGAAGCTACGAGCACATCGTCTGTCGACTCTGAAGCTTCGCAAGGTATCCCTGGGCTCTGAGGGCCATTCGGGAGACTAGGCATCATCGTGGGGCACTCGCTGGCAGGCCGGTTTCGTTTCTGGCGCACCAACTGGAAGTGGAGTGTTGCACGTGAGCTATACAAACTAGAGGACTGCACGTAACCGGTACAGCACAAAAAGTTGCACGTAAACGGTGCGAAATTGAGGAACGCACGTGAAGGGGACAATTTCGGGGATTGCACGTAAACGGCACGGGCAGGGGGCGTGCCAGGGGATGCGCCAGGGAACGTGGCAAGGGACACGCCAGGGGACGCGCCACAAAACGGGAAGGGGGAAACGCCCGAGCACCAGCCCGAGAACGCGCCAGAGGACGAGCCAAGGAACATGACACGGGGACGCGCCGGTAGACGTGGCAGTGGACATGTGGCAGTGGACGCGCCAGGTGACGTGCCAATGGAAGCGCCAGGGGACACGCCAGGGAACGTGTCAAGGGACGTGCCGTGGGATGCGTGCCAGGAGACGCGCCGCAGACGTGCAGTGGACGCGCAAGCCAGGGGACGTGCCCAGGGACGCGCCAGGGGGCGTGCCACAGAACGCGCCAGGGGAACGACACGCCCTGCCCTGCAACTGTAACTCTTCCCTGATGGATCCGCGATCCCAGGGCCACGATGCCTACTAAATCTTACTGGTCCCGCGCTCCAGCAGCAACGGTCCCTTGAACATTACTCTGCGCCCAGACCGCCAGCGGCGCGCTCGCTTGTAAACTGCGACGCGCCCGCGCTCACGAGGCCCTGCCCGCGACCTCAGGGCCACGATCCCTGAGAGATTACGCTGCGTCCGCGCGCCCGGGTGCCAGGGGAGGAGAACGAGGAGGAGGAGGAGGAGGAGGAGGAGGAGGACAGGGAGGGGGAGGAGGACAAGCTAGGCGCGCTCGCGTCATATCTGACGTCCTACCCCTCCCTCCCATCCCTTACCATGGCGCTGAATTTCTCTATCCGCGGACGCGTGTCGTAGCGGACCTGTGGCTCCGCGCGCGCGTGCGTAGTGGGTGGTGGTGCACGTGCGTGCGTGCGTGCGTGTGTGCGTGGTTGTCGTGGTGGTGGTGGTGGTGGTGGTGGTGGTGGTGGTGGTGGTTGGTGGTGGTGGTGGTGGTGGTGGTGGGTGGTTTTGTTGCTGGTGGTGGTGGTGTTGGTACTGGTGCTGGTGCTGGTTGTGGTTTGGGTGGTGGTGGTGGTGGTGGTGTTGGTGGTGGTGGTGGTGGTGGTGGTGGTGTGGGTGGTGGTGGTGGTGGTGGTGGTTGGTGGTGGTGGGTGGTGTTTGTTGTGGGTGGTGTGGCGGTGGTAGTGGTGGCGGTGCGGCGCGGTGGTGGCGGGCGGATGGGCGCGCGAGAAAAAGGCCCGCGCTGGGGCGAGAACGCCATCCTGAACGACGGAGGCCAAACACGGATCCGAAAATGAGGCCCACGCTGCAGCGGGAGCACGATTCGGAACGATTCGGGAGCAGAAATGAGGCCGGCGCCTCAACGAGAGCAGCATTTTGGGAAAAAATGACGCCGGCGCCTCAGCGAGAGTCGTTTCCCGGGATTTCCCGGGCATCCTGTGTGTAAAAAACAGTACGCGGAGGGTGCGCGGCCATCACCAGACGCCATCAGGGGAAGAGGGAGAGTACTTTCATATATGAGTAATTGTGGACGGGGAGGGGGAGGAGGAGGAGGAGGAGGAGGAGGAGGAGGAGGAGGAGGAGGAGGAGGAGGAGGAGGAGGAGGAGGAGGAGGAGGAGGGCCTCTCGTAATTCACACCGCGTCCGCGCTCCCGCGACCACGATCCCAGGCAAGCTGCGCTGCGCCGGCGCGCCCAAGGCCTCTGGATCTCCTGTGAGTCATCTGGCGCCCGCGCTTCCAAGGCCACGCTGCGGGTACGCCGCGTCCGCGCGCCCAGGTGCCGAGGATCCATCATGTGCCAGCCTCTGGGCACGGGGTGGGCGTCTCCTCGGGTCCCTTGCCAAATCGCTGGAGCTTCGGTCCTGTCCTGGGGAGTCTTGAAGGGGCCCGGACCCAAAGTTCTCAAATCTACCAGGGCGCCCCGCGTGATTTCGCAGGACTTCTCCAGGGCCAAGAGGGCCCAACGACGGGCCAAGAGAACCCCACGAAGCCCAAAGATCGGCCCAAGACGCCCAAGATGGCCTCAAGATGGCCCACGAGGCCTCCAAGACACCCCAAGTGGCCTCCAAGAGGCCTCCCAAGAGGGCCCCAAGAGGCAAACATAATTGTTCTGTAGGTTTCTTGGCGGACGTTTGCGTCCTCGCCTTCTCGGCTTCCCTACGCTCCAAGACGGTCCAAGAGGCCCCCAAGACCACTCCAAAACAGCCAACGGGGCCTCCAAGAGGGCCCCAAGATGGCCTAAGAGCGCCCCAAGACGGCCCCCAAGACCACTCCAAAACGGCCAAAGGGGCCTCCAAGAGGGCCCCAAGACGGCCAAAGAGCGCCCCAAGTCGCCCCAAGAGGCCCCCAAGACCACTCCAAAACAGCCAGAGGGGTCCCCAGGAGGGCCCCAAGACACCCCAAGAGCGCCCCAAGACGGCCCAAGATGCCCCCAAGAGCACTCCGAAACGGCCAAAGAGGCCTCCAAGAGGGCCCCAAGACGGCCTAAGAACGCCCCAAGACGGTCCAAGAGGCGCCCAAGACAGCCCCCAAAAAAAGCCCAAGAGAGGGAACACGAACCAAAAATCGAGCCGTCCGCCCCAAGGGGACCCCAGGAGGCCTCAAGATGCGCCCAGGAGGCCCCAAGAGGCCCCCAAGATGCCCCCAAGAGGCCCTTAAGAGGCCCTTAACAGGCCCCAAGAGGCCCCCAAACAACCCCCAAGAAGCCTCCAAACTGCCTCCAATCGGCCCCCCACGAGATCCCAACGAACACCCAATATGCTTCACTCCAACAGCCCAGGCACGGTGGCGGGATGGGCCGAAGGCCATTCGATAGATTACGCTGCGTTCGCGCTTCCGGGGCCACGATCCCTAATCGATTGCACAGCGTGAGCGCGCCCAGGAGCTAGGATTGCTCGGAAGCTGCGCTGCGTCCGCGCTCCCGGGGCCACGCTCCCTCGTGAATTATACGCCGCGCCCGCGCTCTCCTGGGCGCCTCCGAGCCCTGTGATTTGCGGAGGACTCTGAGCGCGGGGGGCGCCTTTTAAAATTTAATATTTAGGGTACATCGATTCTGCGTGTCATGTGAATATGAACGCGCCCATCGCGAGGATCTGCGCAAAACGATTCGACCTTTTTTTTCGATGGAAGAAATAATCTGCGGGCACCACTATTCCTCGAGGACCCGACATGCTGGGTAACACACTTTGCTTTAGCGGGCACGCAGCAAACTCATTATCTAACCGACAGTGCGATTATAAGTTGTCATTAAATGGAAATTCGCCAGCCCACCCCCAACGAGGCACCAGGGGACAGGTTGACATACTATAAAAGGGGCCCAGACCTGAGCCCTGGCCGGGAACAAATGCATCATCGCGAAAAACCACGACAGGAGCCCTGGACCCTTTATTCAGCAGAATCCTTCGAGCCCGATCTATCCGTGATGGTCCCAATGCCCGAAGCTGGGCGAAAACGCCCCGTATATGAAAAACTGGAACGCCAATGTCCCAGGGCATCGCGTCGTGGATCCCATCGAAAAGCCTCAGGACCCGCCTCCCGCAGGACCCCTTCCCCTCAAGCAGGGGCACGCCTGCGGCGCCAGCGCGGCCGGCTGCGCGTCCAACCTCTGCACCACGTGCCGCACCGCCACCGGCGTGGAGGCGACGGCTGGCACGTGCGCGGTGGCCACGGGGGGCACCTCGCAGGTGCCCGCCCACAGCGCCGCGGCAGGCACCTCCGGGCGGCCGGCCCCCCCCCCGCAGCGGGCGCCTGCGACGAGAAGTGCTGCTGTCCGAAATGTGGGAACGGGCTCTACACCCTGCGAAATGCTTAAGAAATCATGGGTTAAGAAATTCATAGTCTCAGAACTTGAACAAAAACCCAAAATTTCCATTCAAAGCTTAGGATTTACATTGAAAGGTTAAGAATAATCGAGACTCTGGCCGAAAATTTAAGTTTTCTTAAGCATCGCCTGAGGTGTACGTGGATCCCTGGACTTCCCACCAGGTGCTCCAGGGCTGCTCGGGGCCCCTGGCGTCGTGGGAGGAGCCATTGCCGCGGGGGGGTCTGCTGGCAGGCTGGCTCCTTCTTTCGTGGGCCTGGTGTACTCCAGATTTCGTAACAAAAGGGAGGGGGTCTGGACCCTCCAAGACGAGCCATTTCAGACCCCCCCCCCCGTGGGAGAACCCTCCAAAACATCGTCCCCAGACCCCCCCAGGCCCTCCAAGATAGCCTGGAAGAGACCCCCCCCCCCGAAATGAGACCCCCTCCCTTTTGTTACGAGATCTGGGGTAGCTTGTTTGCCGTTTTCGGCCTGCGGAGGAGGAGGAGGAGGAGGAGGAGGAGGAGGAGGAACCGAAGCCCAGGACCCCATGGCGCGCCCCGGCGCGGGAGGCGGCCAAAGCATCGAGGAGAGCGCCCGGCGGCGGGGGCGATATCAGCTCCATGCAGCAGTTGTCGTGCTGCCCCCCCTGTCCCGATCGATTTGGGACGAGAAGGTGCGTTGCTGCATGGCTGACGAATATGAAGTTTACTCTGGTCCTCCTCCTCCTCCTCCTGCTCCTCCTCGTCTCTTCGTCACGGTGATCAATAGGACCATGACGACGATTATGATGAAACACATGACCATCGTCATGATCACCAGCATCATCATCACCATCACCATCACCAGCACCATCACAAGAATCATCAGCATCATCACCATCATCATCGTCGTCATCAGAATCATCGTCACCATCAACATCATCATCAGCACCCATCATCATCACCATAATTGCAACGGCATGGTCATCATCAGTATCGCGATCACTATCACCATGATCACCAACGGCACCATGATCGTCACCATAACCATCCCCATCACCATCATCTTCACTGTCGCCGTCATCATCACATTCAACATCACCGTCATCATTGTCAGCACCGTTGCCAGCATCATCATCACCATCATCAGCGTAATCATTATCATCATCATCGCCATCATCCTCACCATCATCATCAGCAGCATCAGCATCATCATCGCCGCCGTCACCATCGCAATCATGAGCACCATCACCATCACCATAACCAAGATTACCAATACCACACCGCTACCACCATCCACTCATCTTCCACGACATGAGAATCACAACCACCATCGTTATCACCATCGTTATCACCATCATCATCAGCAACATCAGCACAGTCAAAACGTGTATTCAGGACGGGTGATAAGGACGTAAGGCCATTGGAGGCCGAAGTTGGGTTGTTTTAGGGCGGCGGGCGACCAGTGATAATGGCAAGGATGGGCCTCAGAGGCAAGGACACAAGGGTACCCTAGATGAAGGCGCGCGTCCTTACTAGCCGCGTTGACTGTACCATCATCATCATCATCATCATCAGCAGCATCATCATCATCGTCGTCCCGTTCGCTCGGCCCGATCTGCAAACTAGAAGGTAGTTTTCTCCCAGTGCCGGCATAGGGGCCCATGCCGACTTGCCGCAGACACAATTTCGAGCGATGGCTCGACGATGTGATACTGCGGTAGAGCGCAGGTTGAAAACGTCGGCCGTGCTGGCGAGGCAGAAGGCAAGGCGAACCCCACTGAAGGAACGTGCGCCCAACAGCAGCATTCGGTGCACTTTTGGTTTTTGCTGGGGCCTTTGTGCGGCGCTGAAGGCACCGACCCCGAGCCTCTGGGAGCACGCCAGCTTTACGTCTGCCTGCGCTCTTGAGGGAGGGTGGCAACGAATCTAGACAAATTCGTTGTAGGGTGGGGGGTCGCCAGCCCTCTTTCGTCGCTCAACGTGTTGTGATTTTCTTCGTTTTCGCCTTACTTCAACGCCCCTCCCACCGCCCCACGCACTGCTTCCCAATGGTCTGCTTTTGGAGCGAGCCCTGGGCCTCATTAACTTTCCTCCTTGTTATATTCCTCTCTTTCAGCCTCTGTTATTCTCTCTCTCCCTCTCTTTCTCCCTCTTGTTCTCCCTCTCTCTCCGTCTCTATCCCTTTACCTTTCTCTCCCTCTCCACTCCTCCTCCTCCTCCTCCTCCTCCTCCTCCTCCTCCTCCTCCTCCTCCTCCTCCTCCTCCTCCTCCTCCTCCTCCTCCTCCATCCTCCTCCTCCTCCTCCTCCTCCTCCTCCTCCTCCTCCTCTGCCTCCTCCTCGCGTTTCTCCTCCCTCTCCTGCTCCTCCTCCCTCTCCTCCGCCTCCTCTCCATCCTCCTCTTCCTCCTCCTCCTACTCCGCCGCCTCCTGCTCCTCCCACCCTTGCGCGCGATGCCGGGAGGATCGATCAACCAGCAGCTGACGCTCGAGAAAATGCGCTACACACTCGAAGTGACATCTTGCGCATTGCAAAAAGGATCGGCCAACCAGCAGTTGACATTCTGAGGAGCTGCTATACGAGCGCAAGAACACTTGTTGCGCATTGCGAACAAGATCGGCCAACCAGCAGTTGACATTTATGCACATGACGGCGCACGCATGCACACGATGAACACGATGCTGCGCTGTTGGCATTCACGGAATTCCAGAATCTCACACGATAGCAAAAAGGTTTGGCCGCCCACGCTCGAATGCCTTCTCCTGCAGCAGAAGAGCTTCGATCATATTCGAACGAATGGCTCGCTATTGACGCTATCGACGCGCGCGACGCGCGTTCGAGAACGTTGGAACTAGTCTGGCGACCGCGGGCGGGGTCGCCTGCTGGGGCGCACTCGCTGCAACATCGATCCGCTCGCTACAAGGTCACACTTTCGAGAGTAGGCATCTGTTACGATTAACTGCTGACCCCATGAAAAGGTTTCGCGGTTTCTTCCAAAGTGGATAATGCAAGTCAATGTTGTACACAGACGAGAAGATTATCATCACTGCGGCGTCTGGTGCGAACCACGCCATCGACTCAAAAGCGTTCGTCCTGAACTCGTTGTTAACAATTGCGTGCGAGCGTCGAAGGTTTTGCGTAATGTCTGAATCTGCCCAGCTTGTGCTTCCTCAATGGACAAAGGCTAGCCGCACAAGAAGCCAACTCAACAATTCGGTTAATTCTTTGAATAGTTCAGAAGCGTTTGTTAGAAAGCCACTAATCTGGAAATCCGCCGATCTGGCGTGTGAGTTGACAAGAGCTACAGCCTGAGCTTCAGCTCGCTGGGGGGGGGGCCCGGGGGGGCTTTGCCGGGGAAGGGGGTGACCAGGATGGGGTCTACCTTTCCGGGGGGGCTCTTTCGGGCCTAGGAGAGCCCCAACACGGGCCAAGAGGACCCCAATAGGCTCCCAAAACGGCCCCGGAGGGCCCCGAGTCAAACGATCAAGCCAAGACGCTAACGCTTGCCTCCATACCGCCCACGGAGCTTCCGAGACGCCCAAAGAAGCTTACAAGAGGGCTCCCAAGAGGGCCCCAAAAGGGGAGAAAAACAAAAACAACAAAAAACTTTCCTTATGAAAAAAATACATGATCAGCATATTCGCCTCTTGGGGTTTCACGGCGTCGGAGACGGCCCAAGAGGCCCTCATGATCACTCCAATACGGACCACGAGGCCCCCAAGAGAGCCCGAAGACGGCCCAAGAAGGCCCCGCAACGGCCCAAGAAGCCCCAAAGACGGCCCAAGAGGGCCCAAGGACGGGCCCAAGAGGGGGCCCAAAAGGAAATACATATATACATATATATATATATATATATATATATATCATTTTGAGCCTTCGACCCCAAGACGCCCACAGGAGGCTTCAAGAAGCATCCAAGAAATCCCCAAAAGGCCCCAAGAGGCCCCCAAGAAACACTCAAAAAGCCCCAAGTAGGTCCGAAGAGGGCCCAAAAAAGTCTTTCCAAGGACGCCGAAAAACACAAAGGATGTCCTCTTCCTCCACGTCTTCCACGTCCTCCTCTTCCTCCTCCTCCTCCTCCTCCTCCTCCTCTCCTCCTCCTCCTCCTCCTCTCCTCCTCCTCCTCCTCCCCATCCTCCTGCTCTTCCTGCTCTTCTCTCTCCTCCTCCTCCTCCTCCTCCTCCTCCCTCGGCCTTCTGCTCTTCATGCTTCTCCGGCTCGACTCCTCCTCATCCTCCTCCTTATCTTCTTCTTCCTCCTCATCATCATCCTCATCATCATCATCATCATCATCATCATCATCATCATCATCATCATCATCATCATCATCATCATCATCATCATCATCATCATCATCATCATCATCATCATCATCATCATCATCAGCATCATCATCATCATCATCATCATCATCATCATCATCAACATCATCATCACCATAATAATGATCATCGCCATTCCTCATAATCATCATCACCATCACCCGCATCATCATCATCAACAACAACATCAATATCAAAATTATCCTCATCATGATCAGCAGCATCAGCATCACCATCAGCATCAGCATCATCATCAGCATCGCCACCCTCTCTTTATCATCATCCTCAGCATTGACAGCATCGTCATCGTCTACATAATATTCGTCATCATCAGCATCACCATCACCTTCATCAACATCATCAGCATCGGCATCGTCATCATCATCATCATCATCATCATCATCATCATCATCGTCATCATCGTCATCATCGTCATCATCAGCAGCATCATAGTCAGCATCATCCTTCTCCTCTTTTCTCCTCCTCCTACCATATCTTCAGCCTCCTCCTCCTCTTCCGTTTCCACCTCATCATCCTGTTTCTCCTCCTCCTCCTCCTCCTCCTCCTCCTCCTCTTGTCATCCCGTCTCCCTCTTACTCCTTCTCCTCA